TACCAACGCTCACAACAAGACCAGTCTTTGCGCTTAACCACTAATCGCTTGGTAAATAGGAGTATGTCATTTCTAATTGCTTGGTTTATATTTTCCTTAAAAGTACACTTTCCGGTTCTAATTCTTTTTTTTTTTTAACTTTTTCGTCCAATATATTTATCTCTTCTATAACTTGACTCATTTAAGTTAACATTTCAAGATTAAATCATCGATGTACATGTATAATATGTATACTTAATACTACCAATGTTGCTACAAAAGTGTAATGTATATATGATTCCTTCTTTCAGACAAATTAGTCTCATCATTATGAGAACTTGACGGAGAAAGAATGTGAAATCTCATCGTTTAACGAACTTACTGAGAAGAAGCCACTTCTAAGGCTATTGGAACTCGAGTTTGCGTTCTCACTTGTGGGAGCTCAAAAACGTACGACGAACCCCAAAATCTTATCCAATCGTTTTGTCACCTGCAAGTACTTGAAATGATATAAAATATTCCTGGTAATAATAAAAATGTATTATCCCGTTAACGTTAATAATATAAAACTGCATTTGATTATATACAAATGTAATTACTTTTATTCTGTTTCGATTTTATGAGAAACGAATTTGAGCTCATGACGACTCACATTTCTATATCTTTAAAAAAATCTTGACGTTGATACCTCTATATATATCATTATTCATTAATATATGCCAATATAACTCGAATAAAATTACTAGAATAGTCTTACATTTCAAGATTAAATCATCGATTTTGCACAGATCAAAACCTATGCAACTAGGGATAATTACTAGAATAGTCTTAATAAATGAGGTAATTACTAGAATAATCTTCACAAAATATCAAAACCTAACAAAGGTCATAAAAAACATATAAGTCTTAGTAAAAAAATTTTATTACAAAAATATCATTCTAATTAAAAAAAAAAATTGAAAAATTTGTTTGAAACCGCGGCCGCGGAGGTTGCGGAAGCACCGGAGACGCGCTCGGCGGAGGTATGGAGGCTGAGAAAGCACCGGAATTATGATAAAATTGGATTAAAAATCATAAGGCGAAAAAAAAGCTCAAAAATCTTT